CTGAAACCTTGCTATCAGAGACACCATAAAGTACTTGATACAAGTGTTTTTTAGGTTGTGCTTTGTCTACATAGCATTTTTAAGTGACATTCAAAGGCAGCTTTTTTAAATAAAATAATCAAACCATAAATATAGCAAAAGTTATAACAATACCAATTTGGAGCCTAATATTATAAACTAGTCAAATGGCCCATCATAAAATGGGATTTCAGGTCTCTCCTTCACGTCCTATTCCCTTTCTATCTCGGTCTTCTCTCCTGAGCCTCCGGTCTCACGCTCCATCTCTCTCTCTTTCCCCTCCTCCTACTGCTTTCCCCCCACCCCCTCAGCTCTCCTCCATCTCTCTTTCTCTTCTCCTTCTCCTCCTGCATGAGTGGGCTGCATGAGGAGCACGGACCCCAAACAGCCGCTTGTGTCACTTGCTCCCGTGTGGCGTCCCAGCTGAGTGGCACAGAAGTCAGCTGAGTGCCACGGCAGAAGGCAACAGTGCCCCCCATAGGGAACAGCCAGCATTTCAGCATTACAGAGTCATAGACATTGGGCTACTATATATGGGTATGTCTACACTCCCCCGCTAGTTCGAACTAGCGGGGTAATGTAGGCATACCGCACTTGCAAATGAAGCCCGGGATTTGATCTTTTAATTAAAAAAATAGGGGGTCGTCTTATACGCCCAGTCGGCCTATACGCCGGAAAATACGGTACCTAATCACAGGAACAAAAGATTCCAAAACCAACAGCCAGTTGCAAAAGGACACATTAGGGCTGCAGATGCTTGGCCTTGGTAAATATAAAGAGCCTGCCAACAGAAAAGTTTGCTGGAGTAAAGGTTCCTATTGGAGAACAGTTCTGCAATATGTATTCATCTGAGAGCAGCCAGTGCCACATCCGTCAGAGGGAATTACCAGAACAGGGAAGTTGTCAAGTACCAGCTTCTCATGGTCAGTTGTTTAGGAACACCCAGACTATGGGTTGGACCTATTCTCCATGAACTTGTCTAATTATTTTACGAACCCAGTTATAGTCCTGACCTTTACAACATTGCCAGGCAATGACTTCCACAGGTTGACTGAGTGTTGTATGAAGAAACACTTTCCTTTATTTTTAAACTAAAGCCTATTAGTTTCATTGAAGTGACCCCTAATTCTTGTGTTTGTGTTAAGGTAAACAGTCCTCCTCCTCCCACTGCCTCCCCCTCTTCTTCTGAGCTCTCCTCCGTCTTATACCTCTCTCTCTCCATTTCTCTCTTTCTCTTCTCCCCCTCCTGCCTCTCACTCTCTCTCTGCTGTCCTTAGTCTCCAACGGGGATGCACGCTCATACAGGCTCTGCCCCCGGGCGTGTACGTCACCGTCCCGCCCTCCTTTTGTCTCCCACCGTGGCGCTTGGATGACTTCTGTGCTGCTCAGCCAGGCCATCACACAGGAGCAAGCAGTGCAAACGGCCACTCTCTCTCTCCTCGTCCTACTGCCTCGCCCTCTCTCTTTCTCAGCTTTCGTCCGCCTCTTGCCTCTCTCTCCGTGTCTCTTTCTCTTCTCCTCCTCCCTCCTCTCACTCTGGCTACATCAACACTGGCAGCTCTTGTGCAAGAACTCTTTTGCTGAAGAGTTCTTGTGCAAAAACTCTTCCACAAGAGACCATCTACACTGCCATGTGCTTTTGCGGAAGAGCATCCATGGCAGTATAGACACTCTCTTCTGCAAGAAAGCTTTTTATATAAATGGAGATGCCTATCTTCTAGAACCGGAAGGGACTTTGAAAGGTCATTGAGTCCAGTCCCCTGCCTTCACAGCAGGACCAAGTACCATCCCTGACAGATTTTGCCCCAGATCCCTAAATGGTTCCCTCAAGGATTGAACTCAAAATGCTGGATTTAGCAGGCCAATGCTCAAACCACTGAGCTATCCCTCCCTGCCAAAAAAGATACCACCCCAGATGGGACACAAACCCACAATCCCTGGCTTAGGCGGTCAATGCCTTATCCATTAGCTCTGATGGTCATTTTAACCATAGGGCTTCTTGCGCAAGAAATTCATGTTGCCTGTCTACACTGCCCTTTTCTGGAAGAACTCTTGCACAAGAGGGCTTATTCCTCGTGGGGAGAGGAATAACTCTTCCAGAAGAAGCCCTGTTTTACAACGCTATATTGTAAATTTACTTCTGGAAGAACGCTCGTGCAAGTTAGACAGCCGGCAAGTTTTTGCAGAAGAACGGCTCTTCTTCCGCAAGAAGCTGCCAGTGTAGATGTAGTCTCGCTGTCCTCCGCCTCCTCTCCACCTCCTCCATTCTCCTCTCCATCTCCTCTATGCCCTCTGCGTCTACTCCGCTTTCCTCCTTTTGAATCCTGTGCCCTTTCCTGACATCAGAGGAAATGGGGACTCTCATCCAGGCCACCCCCCCGGCTGTTTCCTTTGGGTGGCACTTTTGCCTCCCACAGTGGTGCTCGGCTGACTTCTGCGCCGCTCAGAATGGGGAAAGCGGACCTCAAACGGCCGCTTGCTCCTGCGTGGCAGCCAGTCTGAGCAGCGTAGATGTCAGCCGAGCGTCATGGTGGGAGGCAACACCGCTGCCCAGAGGGAACAGCCAGGGTTTCAGCATTACAGAGTCATAGACATTGGGCTACTATATGTATGATACTTGCCCATCCTTCATTTTCAGAACATGATTAATCCAACCAAATTACACCAAGTCTGAGTCCCCATGAAACCAGCATGAGGGCTTCTATGCTTTACCTGAAGCTCAGTAGTAAACCTTTCAGGATGGAGGTGTTGCTCTTTTCCGTCCCTTGTCTAGATTAGCATTTACAGATACTATGTGAGATCAAACAATCTAGCTCAGCCTAATTAACACCTTCCAAACTGTGTTTTACAACATGCCAAACTAGTTCAGTTTATATGGATGAGCTCTCCTGGCATGTTGCATGTTGGGTATTCTCCCGAGAACAGAGCAACCAAACTAGGAGCCTGATCTGGAAAACCAAAACAAACTGACACTTTAGGTCATATGGAAAACAAATGTTTCATTTTGCAAAGTAGGTTTGAAATTGAACTAGTCGTGTCAATATCCCCAATTTAAAAAATCCAAACACTTTGTTGAAGCAGAATGTTTGCTACAGGAAGTGTTCCTAGTGGAAATCTTATTAGTCAAAACTATAATTCACTCTGGCGTCCCCTCTCAGCATCACCAGAATGGGGCAAAGAGACACGAGTGCCAATGAGAATCAAGACTCATTTCGAGGCCCCTCTTTTACACGGATTCATTAACCTGCTAAGAGCAGAGCAGCCCACACCCTTCCCATGCCGCCACATGGCCCCTTCACCTGCTCCCAGCCAGGCCCAGGGGAGAGTGGCACTTGTTCTCCTTCCCATTGCACAATGTTAAGAAGTCAGGTTTTTGGACAGGTAACCATGGAAACCCAGATGCTGCAGCCACTGACCCCCTGCCTATCCTTCCAGACACTACAGCATCACCCTGTCTCCAGGCACTGGGGACATGGCATTGCTGCTGGCAGCCAGAAGGGTGACCATGTCTCACTGTCTTCATTTCTTGCAGGCTGCTGGGCAGTGACGGGCCCCGGGTCAGTGCGCGGCCGCCCGGGCGGGTCGGTGACTGTGGAGTGCGGGTATGAGGAGGGCGATGAGAAGAAATCGAAGTACTGGTGCCGGGAAGAAACAGGGATTAGAATAGGGTACTGTTCCAGCGCTCACGTAGTTGAGACCAGAGGGTCGGAGACCGAGGTGACGCGGAGCAGATTCTCCATCCGAGACAATCGCACCCGACGCGTGTTCACTGTGACCGTGGAGAACCTGACGCTGGCCGACGCCGGCAAGTACCAGTGCGGGGTAGAGACGACTTCGCTGCTTTCTGATTGCAGGCACACTGTGTCGGTCTCCGTCTCCCCAGGTAAATCCCTGCGCTGCCCCCGCCAGTGTCAGGGTTGCCGGGGTCGGGCATCGCCGGCGCTACCTTGAGGCCTCAGAACGATGAAGGGCAGCTCTGCTGTGACCCAGACCTCACAGCCCCCCCAGCTCAGGGGACTGCCCCAGAGCTGTGAGGGAGCACCCCTTGGGACAACGGCTGGTCACTCCCACTACTGAGGTCCTCAGGCTCAGCCCCTGCCAGTCACTGGCCGAGCTGTGACAAGGTGTGGCCATTTCCCCAGGGGGCAGAACTGGGCAGAGGCACAGCCCTGATGCATAAGGGAGGAGAAGGGATGCGAGAGGAAGAGGGAAGGGGAGGCGCAGGGTAGATAGAACAGGAGGAGAGGTGGCAGCTGCCAGTCTCCATACCCATCCCCCCTTAACTGTAGCCAGGTATCCCAAATAATTAGGGGGCTGGGATGGGGGAAGGGTGCAGACAACAGTTGAAGTTTCATCATGAAGAAATGTTTTGCCACTTCCCCACAGATAAAACCGAAACCTGCCCCGAGTAACCGAAATGTAGATCAAGACACTGAGGCCTGGCAGTGCAGCTCACTCTTTGTTAAAAACTCACTTAACATGAAAGTGCTGCTGCAGGTAACTGGCAGCTCTTGCCCCTTATTCCAGCGCAGTGCAGGGGCTGGTTTTCTTTTCCAAAGAACTGGAGGTTCTTATGCTGGGATTATTGGTGCACAGAGAATTTTCATTTAGGCTCAGAGTTAGGGTTGTTAAGTGGGGATGGATTGTGCTTAAGAAGACTCCTTCATTAACTATGGGAATGTCTACACTGCTTCCGGTATCCAGAAATAGCTATTCCACTTGTGACAACATGCCTATAATTTTGAAATATCTTTTGAAATAACAGGCATGCTATTCTGATGTCCCTGTAAACCACATTCCACAAAGAAAAGGGACATTTCAGAATAACAGTGTATTTCAAAATTTGGAGCGTCATTACACTCAAAATAAGCTATGTAATCTGAGTAACTTGAATTGCGTATCTTATTTTGTGCTAAGGGTGCAGTGTAGACACACCCTATGTGAAACAAAAAACAGGACTATGTAGCACTTTAAAGACTAACAAGATGGTTTATTAGGTGATGTCCTGTTAGTCTTTAAAGTGCTACATAGTCCTGTTTTTTGTTTCAGCTACACCAGACTAACATGGCTATATTGCTATCACACCCTATGTGGGCAATGTAACGTCAATGATGTTCAGATGTGTCCCTTTCCTTGATTTTAATCACTTTAGGTTTGCAAAGGCTGTGACAAGTAAGTGATTTTTTTTCACTCAGTGATTTTACCTGGTTTCTGGAAGGAAGGTTTTTTTAGTCCTAAAATTCTCATTGTTTTTACACCTTCATCTTCTCTCCTGTGATTAAATGAAGACAGAGCCGAGTGTGGCTTTGTTTAAACAACTGAGCTGGGATATATCACTTTAGCAGTGATCTCCAAACCATCTATCAGGATGGGTCGGTCGATTGTGGTGTCTCCAACAGTCACTTTCTGGGTTACCTCTGACCTGCAAGGTGCACAAGAAATTGTAGGTCCATCCGACTTATCTGCAGCAGCACTCACCACACTCACTTTCCTGCTGGAATGGAAGGTGATTGGTAGTGGGGGCAATGGCCTGGTGGGTTCTGGCCTGGTCGAGTGGTGGGTGAGTGCTGCAGCTGGAGCTTGGTGAGCTTCTCCCTGCTGGGCCAACCGCGGTGAATGGAATGTCCCTCTAAAGCAGGCATGTCAAACTAGAAGCCTTCTGAGGGCTGCACAAATGAAAACCGATAGCTTTCAGGCCCACCAAAGAAAACGTAACTCTATTGGAAAGTCATTATTAAGGATCATGTCGTAGGTATATTTTATAATTTTCAGGTCTTGTTTTAATATAATACAATAATTTGATGTGTAAAATTGTTATTTGCCCATATAAAATAATTTTTAATTTAAATATAAATTTAAGATATTTTTGTATTTTTATTGATACATATCTTGCTTTGTTGAAATAAAAATGAGTATAGACCATGGTTAATCAAATAGGACAGGCTTCTGTAAAAATTTCAGATACTTTGTAAGTTTGAGATTTTGCATGAACATATAATATTCATGCAATTTCAGAAAATGACATCTATTTATATAAAAGTAATATACATTTTGTGATTTTATTTGGGAATAAATAAATAAATAAAAACCAAAATATCCTGCCCCTCCTTCCCAAGCCAGGCACTTCCATGCTCCCCACCTGGTAGCACTCTGGGCACTTCAGAAGCCTTGCAGGACTCCCA